AATTTCTGTGTTTTGTGCTTCTTGTGGTTGGACTGCGCCATTTTGATTCAAGAACAAAGTGAAAAACATTATGATGATGACACACGATGCATCTCACCAAAAAGTAAAACAGCTGAAACAAATCTAGTTTTCTCATGTTTTTGCTTCACCAGAGAAGCAGTAGATGATGGTTTTTGTGCTGCCACCGTTCCTCTGAAAAGGTTAAACTGCTTTGCCAGCAATGGAAACTCATCCCTGAGCTGCAGGAGCATCAACATGTCAGTAAGAGAAAATATAGATCAGCTCCAAACAGCCCCCACCACCACCACCACCACCACCACCACGCCGCTCGCCCACTTCCGCTGCTCAACTCATCCCGCCTCCCTCCGCTCGCTGCCCTCTTTCTTTTTTAAAGTTTATTTTTCTCTCTCTCTCGTCTCCTCGTGGCATCTCTTCGTTTTTATTTTATCTTGTATATTTAATTCTGCTTTTTCTTTTGAACATTCGCTCTCATAAACACACTTTCTGTCTCTTGTGCTGCTCTGTCAGGACAAACACATGACAAACGACACAAACTCATTCATGAAAACGCGGCAGCACTCAGTCAAGGCTTAACCGCTGGATTACGGGATTAGAGAGGGGGACAGATTTAGAGTGTGTGTACACATGCAGCATACACACAGATACAAGCCTGCATGTGTGTGTGTGTGTGTGTGTGTGTGTGTGCTGTTTTTTATTTTATGTTGGTCTTTAAATTATGCCTTTTCCATATATGCAGGATTTTCACCATCAAACAGCAGCTGGCAGGTCACTGATGAATGAATAATGATCACATTGAACTGTACATTTAATAATCCAGCTGAATTACATATCAGCTGTTTATTTAGAGCTCATTCAAATCAACAGTTCATCATTTTGTGTAACATAAACTCCACTTAGCAGCACCTCTAAAGCATTTTATAACTCCTTTGTGGTTTCCTGGTGACCTCCAGGTGACAACGTGACCCCTGGACGAGCCGATAACTCCTACAACACACAACCTCCAGCTTATAACCACAAGAACATACGTTTGGAACCAGGTCAGCAGTCTCTTCCTTCTTGTCTTTATGCTAAGCTAAGCTAACTGTAAGAATTTAGCTTCATATTTTGCACACAAACATGTGAGTGGAATGAGGACTTTTCCCACAGTTTTTAAGTGAACAGTTCTTTTGTAGTCAGCTCTGTTAACTGCATCGTAAACCCTCAGTTGCGTTCGGCGTCTTGCTCAAGGACGGTTTGACGTGTGGACCGGAGGAGCCGGCCCGTGATGGACGACCTGCTGTACGGCTGCAGAGCCACAGCTGTAAACGGCACTATGCTGCTGTCACTGTGCTGTCAGTCTGTGTGCTGTCAGCCTGCTGTGCTTTGCTTGCATGTGTTGCATCTGAGCTGCATGAATCCTACTGTATCCTCCGATATCAGTACTGCACGCTCAGGGACGAGCGAGGAGGCTGCGTGTACAGCCGTGTTGTGCTACTGATGCATGCACGGCGCTTGTGAATAGGCAAAAATAAAAAGTGACATTACAGAGAGAGAGAGAACGAGAGAGGCTAAACGGGCAGAGTGATGGACGAGGGAGGAAGATGGAGTAAATATAGGGAGGAGGAAGATAGATGTTTACCAAAATATCCTCCCTCTGCCTCCCTCTCCCCTCTCTCTCTCTCTCTTGTCCACTGTATTGACGGATGACGGCATGCAGCAGGCGAGGGATGTGATGTGAGGGGATGAATGGATGGACACGAGAGCGGAGGGAGGAAGGGATGACATCAGTGCAGAGTCTCTTTCTGGCCAATCCCCTCGCAGTCCCCCGCCTGCTGTCTCCGCCCTCCCACACCTCTCCCTTGTTGCTACGGCAGCAGCACCATCCCGCCTGTTGGAGGCATTGTTTAGGGGTTGATAGTAATGCGGCGTGGTGTGCATGTGTGTGTTGATCTGGGGACACTGGAGGCAGTAAAACTAATCATCCTTTTTTTTTTTTCTTCCATCCATCCTTCACCTCCTCCTCCTCCTCCTCTTTGTCATCTCCTCCTCCTCTTCCTCCTCCGTTCTGCCTTTCTTCCATCTCACCTTCTCTCACCTCTCTGTCTTAACATTCACAGTCCTTTCATTCATCTTTTAGCTTCGCTGCAGTGCTCGTGTTGCCTTTTTGCAAACTGAATATACTGCGTTTGACACATTGCGCCTCACAGAGTCCCAGATCGGACTCTTCTGCAAGGATGGTTTGGACAAAATGGTTTGATTGTGCAAAACTGGATCTGTAGGCATCTAAACCTTCAGACAGGTTACAAATAAAGAGAAAAAAGATGGAAAAAAATGACTGGACAAGCAGCTAATACAGATGTCGTCATCAAAACACCAGATGAAGGAACATGTTTCTGTTCCAGGACGGTTCCAGATATTCAGAGAATCATGTCAAGGAGCTCTGAGGCTGCTCAGATCTTATTGTGTTGGTTTGCTCTTAGTTATGCCCACATCACTGAGCTGATGATGTTTTGACTTTACACATGAAGATCAGCTGTCTGGTCCTGGTCAGTTCTTGTTGCATAATGAAGTTTTGCTATGAAAGCGTGAGAAGAGCTTCAAAACTCCCAGCATGAGAGGTCCAGGAAATCTAGGAAACAGCATTTTAGGATACTAAAAGTCAAGATATTAGACCTTTGTTGCATCAGTTGTCTTTCAAATCTCCATTATGTGAGTGTCATTCTAAAACCGAGCACAGATGCTACATATACATGCGTTTAACAGTCATATTATCATTCATCCTGCAAAATCAAAGCCGTTTGTATCCTCTTATATTGATAACAGACATTTTTCAAGTCATGCAAAAAGCTCCAGTTAACCTCAGATGTCTATAGTTGCCTTACAGCCATCAACTGGCTGCCACATTTCCTTTATTGAGGTTTGGCTTTGCCGAGTACAGATGGTCTTATTTTTAGCAGAAAACACGACACACAGTAAACACCGAGACTTTCCCATGAGTTCGAAACGAGCAGCTCGTGGTCTCAGATTACATTTCATGAGTCACATCTTGGAATATTTATCAATTTAAACCAGATTTACAACTTTTGAAAACCCTGAGAAACACAGATCCGTGCGCTCGTGCGTTGGCAGCCCGTTACTCAAACATGCACACACATTTCCTCACTTACAAAACAGTTTTAATAGCTCAGTCAGTCTATCTGTCTCCTTCAGCATCTCCCTGGTTTTCGCTCTCAGTCTGTTTGTGTCAGGGCGTCTGCATCTTTTTTCCTCCCCCCCCCCTCCTGTCATCACTGCTCTCTTTCCTCTCGTAACCATGGAAATGAGATCAACATGCAAATACCTGAGCACGCTCAGCTAAGGCCGTGTGATAGAAGATGCAAATTGCATCCGCTTGTAGGATTACACACACCCACACACACACACAGATGCACGCTCAGACGTATAGGCCGGCCTGCACACGCACACACAGGCGTCTGTGCGTGCACATACGTAAGCGCGCCCACCTGCAGGCCGCCGCTGCCGCCGCCGCCGGAGTGATTTATAGGTGAAGCAGTCATTCAAGCACTGAGCCATAAACAAGAGGAAATCAAACACAGTTGATCCAAAGTAAATAGAACTAAACCAGAGGCTAAGTCTGAGGAAATAGTCAAGGTTACATAGATAGATAGATAGATAGATAGATAGATAGATAGATAGATAGATAGATAGATAGATAGATAGATAGATAGATAGATAGATGCTTTATTCATGTGACATTTAGGGAAAATAAGGAAACTAATCTGCAAAAAACCCTGTAATTAATGTGCTGGTCGAAGGAATAAAATGCAGAATTGCTGGTATTTACCATTTTAAAAAGGCTAAAGAGTCAAAGTACAGTATAAAATAGAACTGATAACAACCAGGCAGGTTGGAAACGGTTATTTTATGAGTTTGTTTTGCTAGATATGAGACAAGCTAAGCATCTGTTATTCCCACAGTTGGTTGATTTGCAGTGTAGGGAACCTGGGTAGAGAATGTACTGATTCTTATTTATTTTATTTTACCTTTATTTAACCAGATAAAAGGACCCACTGAGATCGAAACCTCTTTCACAAGCGTGACCTGGCCAAGACAGGCAGCAGCACACGTCCACAAATAAACACAACAGTCACAAAGTAAACATTACAAATGGACAGCACAGACAGGAAGCGGATAAAGGGCAGGAGGAGTGATGACTTTGGTAACAATTAAAAACACAGGCAAAGGAATTCTGTTGTCCATCTTTTAGGAAAGAGCGAAAGGCTTCAAGGGAGATGAGTTCTGACATTTTTAGCTCCGATTGAAGGATGTTCTGAGCAGAGGGGGCAGAGATTCATCCATGTGTGGATGTTCAAATAGTGCACAAACTGCACATGTCTGTGATGTTGTATGGGTTCCTACATACACTGATACTGGACAGATGTTTTTGTATGTAGAAATATTGATGAGGGAATGTACAGTAGCATTTGTGAGCAAAAAAAATAAAAATTAATCAGAATCTTCAGACTTTAATTCTCTCATTGAACCACATGCAGGCTGTAGAACCCTGACTACATAATACACAGCTTTAAAATAGGATAAATTAATTAAATAGAGCCACTATGTTGTTGATAGATTTCCAAAATAAAGCTCAGGAGCTAATAGCTTATTTAAACTCACTTCAGCTGCTTTTTTAAAACTGAGCCTTAAAAAGAAAAACATCTTTAACTTCTTTCTCGTGTTGTGTCCCTGAGCTGGTTGAGGAATGGCCGCCGTATCCTTATAGAGTCTAATCATCTCCGTCTCGTTTCATTGATGTCTGTTTTTGTTTTTTTTTTATGAATGAACGGCAGAGGAGGAAGGGGCACGGGTAGCTGGACGCTCTGTGATTGGCTGCTGCCGGTTGACGTCACCTCCGCCGTGACGCGATGCAGCCATTCATAAAAAAAAAAAAAAAAAGAAAAGAAAAGGGAAAAAAGAGAAAGAAGAGTCCTGTGGAGAAACACTCAGAAGGAGACAGGCAGAAAGAAAGGAAGGTTGAATGGAGAAGACGATGCGCGGATAGAGGAGAAGCGCGAAGGAGGGGAATCCGTGCGCAGGACCCGTGCGTCTTCTCCACGTCCGGAGCGGTGGTGTTTTTTTATTCATTTTATATTTTTGGTTGGAGGAGAGGAAGATTAACGACCGTGAAAGCAATTACACTGCCCGCACCGAGCGTTTTGCGATGGAGGAGCTGTGCGAGATGGACTGCACGGTGCTGAAGCGGCTCCTGAAGGACGACAGCGCCAAGTGCCTGCTGCTCGACTGCCGCTCCTTCCTCGCCTTCAGCGCCGGACACATCCGCGGCGCCGTCAACGCCCGCTGCAACACCATCGTCCGCCGCCGGGCCAAGGGCTCCGTGCTCAGCCTGGACCAGGTCCTGGCCGGGGACGAGGAGGTCCGGGGCCGCCTGCGCTCTGGGATGTACTCGGCCGTGGTGCTGTACGACGAGAGGACGCCGGACGCGGAGTCGGTGAAGGAGGACAGCACTCTGACTCTGGTGCTCAACGCGCTGTGCAGGGACTCCTCCGGCTCGGACATTTACCTGCTCAAAGGTAAATACAAGCGCTGCTGCTCCTACATTGAAGATTTATTCCAGTGACATCAATATGTTATAAGAAAGAAGAAAAAAAAATCAAGGATTCAGCTTCATTTTTGCAGCTGGAGCAACAAACTGAACGTCCCTGATGCGTATTATTTGATTTAGAGCAACAAAAAGGAATAAAAAAATCATAACATATGATAGTAAATCACATTAACTGATGCATTAATCTGGATTATACCAGTTATTGTCATTTTATTACAATTATAAGCCTTTTTAAAAAATCTTTTGTTTTGAAAAAGCCACTACATCAGTCAAAAATGACTAAAAACAAAAACTAAAAACTACACTCAAGATTACATGTTTCTGTAAATGATAATTTACTGACATCATATAATAATAATAGTCCCAAATTTGACAAATATCCTCATATAAGTAGATATTCCAGCATCCTATACAGGCCATGAGATAATATTATTTGATATAGATGTTGAAATATCCTGCCTCTGTTTCCATTCACTGCTGTATTATTTTTATTTTTTTGGTTTTACAACACACACTCTCACTCACTCACAGCTACACACACATCCACACACAGACCAATGGCTGTGAGCTGAGTGAATGAGGTAATGCTGATGCGTAGAAGCCACATCAAACCGGAGGGACTCGCAGGACACACATGATCATTTCAGCAAAGCTTTGGGGTAAAATTACAGATGGGAAGCAGTAAAATCTAAATAAACCCCCTAAATGTTTAAAAAGAGAAGCAACACTGGATTCACCCTGCCTGTATTTAGACTGCAGGAAATCTGACAACCAAAGCTGCTGCAAGCTGTGGCGCATTCTTTTTTCTTTTTCTTTTTTTTTGTGTGTGCATCCTAATGATGCAGACGCCTTGAAGCACAAAATGTGTAGCTTGTAGAAGATGACATTTAGTTGATCCTTGAGCTGCAGCAGCAGAGAGCAGTGGTCAGGATGTAAAAATATATATAATCATAAAAAAGCAAAGGGATGATGAAATTGTTTTCAAATCCACGGCACACAGGACAGATTAGGTCAGAGGTCGCTTTGATAGACTTCACGTCAGACTAACTGAGAGAAGATCCCGGTGCAGATCGTGCCTGGATGTTGAATGTGTGCTATCAGCCTTCTTTTGTCCTGAAGTGTGCATCTGCTCCATTGTGTGCGTTCAAACCTCAAACAATAAGCCTCTGTTTCCGTCATGTTCCTCGTCTATATGCTCGCTGGTGAATTTAATCTCCTACGTCTGACTGTAGGATGACTTCAGATGTACTGTTAATAATTAAAGGTATTCCCCACTCCCTTCCCTACAACAAAGCCCCGCGTGTGACGCATCATATTTGACCGTGATGTCTTTTCTTTTTAGGGGGATACGACAGATTTTTCTCAGAGTATCCGGAGTTTTGTCTAAAGACCAAATCCTTACCGTTCCTCACCAGCCAGTCCAGCATCGACTCGGCCTGTTCGTCGTGTGGAACGCCGCACAATGACCAGGTAGGCTGCATCCTGACATCTGAGTAAAGCCTCCTCCAGCTTTTTTCAGGCTGCAAACAGGACATGACTAACATCCAGCAGCCTCTGTGTGCTTAAATATGACAGATAAGTTAGGTTTAGAGCATTCTGTGTAACATTTACAGGGTTTTTGTGTGTGTTTGGCGTTCACCTTTGGTATTTAAATGATTAAATATGACTTGAAGACGTCCTGATTAGTTTTTTATCTCGTGAACTCAGCTTCAGTTTTGCTCGCTCCCGAGTGCAAACACTGCAGGTTGTTTGCTTTGCTCAAGGGCAGCTCAGCCGATGTCAACTTTCCCACGTCGCCTCACCCGTTTGCAGAATTTAAACCATCAAAGGTGAACTGATGAACTCTTTAGTCAGCAAACGACGTAATGCGCAAGAAAAATTTCCTGAAAATTGTTGGGATTAGTAATCACATCCGTCTTGGTTCATCCCTGACTCACCTCTGCATCACTGGTGTGAGCCGGGTGGCCTTGTTTTGCTGGTTGTGTGCAGCGCTCACAGTCACATGGGCTTAATTCGGCTGGAATGCAGCAGGAAGAGACAACCCGGCCTCTGTGTGTTGTCTTAGCAAGAAAAGATTTGCTTGATAGTCTTTGCCGTACCGTCAGGTGCATTTTAAATCAAGGAATTCTGCAGCTTCCGGTGGATGTGGAGAGTAAAGTCGAGCATCTCTCTCCCTCTCTCTCGGTATTTCCCCCTCACCCTCCCTCTCCTCGCATTACATCTCTTAGCAGTATTGATCATTTCCTGACGCTGTGTCAGTACCGAGTTCGTCAGCAGCGGTGACATAAACAGACAGAAGCTTCTGTCAATAAGTCGCGCTGCCGGTATGGACCGCCGCCGGCCAGCTGACCTCTCGGATCCAGTAAACAGTTACATGAGAACACGCTCTGGGATGTGATTGAGGATTAACTAAACACCGGGGATGTGTCGCTTTTTTTTCTTTGTGTAGTGCAGGAAATGTGTTTTTTTTCATGTGTGCAGTGAAGATATTTTAGATGAAAGATTTATGTTTTAATCTGGTGCTCATTGAATCAATTATTATATTTAACCAAAACCTATAAGGAGCAGTATTTTTATGGCTCTTCAGATGCTTGCATGTCCTTGTTGCTCCGTCCTTATCTGCAGCACATTAGCAGGAGTACGTTTCCAGAGCAGCAGCTGCAGACACGTGCTGCAGAGCACATTCTGAGGAAATGCTGCTGGTTTTTCTTTTTTTTTTCTTCTTTTCCCAGAAGAAGCGTAGAAAATTACACTTCCTCAACAAAGCATGACACAAACGGACACGTTACAAACATGCAGATATTCGCCCCTGAATTCTCGCAAACATTCTTCCGACTCGGCCCCAGACAGCAACTGACAAACTAAATGGCCCATATCGGATGAGCTGCATTATTCACACGGATAACAAGCTGCTGCTGTCCGACGAGAAGCGTCGCTAATGTGATTTGAAAAAAAATAAAAATAAAAAATTAAGCCAGGTCACGCTTATACTGAAGTCATCTGGCGTCTGGTCTGTGCTGCTCTCCGAGACACTAGATCCTTTGTCTTGGCGTGTACGCTGGCTCTCATTTCAGCCGGACTCGCTCCGACGTGGCTCCACTGGCCGACCGGGTCCAGAGATGCCTCTTTATTAAATGACTCGGTGGATAAAGACTCGCTTGCTGAGGCTGTTGCAGTAAACCCGTCTCTTAATTGCTGTTTAATGGGGAAATATTAAATTAATCATCATGTTCTCTTCTGTTTTGTCTTTCTTTGGGGGGTTTTACCAGGGCGGCCCGGTTGAGATCCTCCCGTTCCTCTACCTTGGCAGCGCCATGCACGCCTCAAAGAAAGAGGTTCTGGACGGCATCGGGATCTCCGCCTTGCTGAACGTGTCGGCCAACTGCCCCAACCACTTTGAGGGGGCTTACCAGTACAAGTGCATCCCCGTGGAGGACAACCACAAAGAGGACATCAGCTGCTGGTTCCTGGAGGCCATCGAGTTCATAGGTCAGTGTGCTGACTGTGTGTGTGGGGTCCGAGCAGAACAAATGCATCCTCGTGGTGTAGATCCTCAAATGAATCGAGCCTCTCTCAGCCTCCAGCTTTGTTTTTAGGTCACACAGTTTAAAATGTTAATCGTCGTAAAGTGTCTTTGACCTATTAAATAATCATGACAAGACACGCAGGGCTGCAGTTGGAGCTTATTTCCACTTGATCTGCTGATTGTTTTCGTTTTCGTTTCTGCATCCCCTCCTTGACATCACCTGTCAATCAAACAGTGTGGGCGGGACCGTCGTGTCCCTTCTTCTTCTTCTTCTTCTTCTGCATTTTCTGTTGACGTAGTTTCCGAAAAACGGCGGCTCGTGCGGCAGTCCTCTCCTTCTATTACCGTCAAACTAATTTCAAACACCGCTCCTCGTCTGGAGTTGTGTGTTTTTTTTTCTTCCCAGAAAGCAGCTTTCAGAGAACTGCCACGGAAAAGCTTTCATGTTCCAAAGTCACTGCGCACATAAAGCAGACAGATGATGACAAATCTTAATTTATTCCCTGGAATCTGTCACAAATTATTATTTCCAGGCAGGCACTTAATCACACACATCTCAGCAGACTGAGCCGAGGCGCAGAACCAAAAGGAGGAGGGGAAAGAATAAAAAATAAAAAATGACGTAATACGAACGTGGAGTGATAAAACATCCCGATCAGTGATCTCTCTCTGCGTCTTGTTTTTGTGTATTTATCATTACAGGCTCTTGCTTTGCATACCCATGCTGTGTGTAGAGGCCGTGTGTAGACGCTGTGAGTGTGTGTGTTGTGAGAGCTCTGATGTGTGTGTGTGTGTAGGTGCTGGTATGCGTCATAGTTAGCTGCTGTGGGACCAGAGTCTGACTCATCCACTGTTACCGGGTGAACAGACGCTGTGGTGGAGTTACCTGAAATCTGTCTGTTTGTGTGTGAAAGACGGGTTTCAAAGAGAGAAACAATAAAAAACTGCGATGAAATAAAAGATATCAGGCGTCTAATCGGTCTCGTGTAATTCTGTGTCCAAGAGGTTGTGGGGTGAAGTCTTTATACTTAGTTGGAAGCTTCTTTCTTTTACGTTCTTTGCGTTCTAATTTCCTGCAGGCCTCCGCTCACGCTCACTAACTAATCGTGCAAACGGAAGCTGTTTAGGGGGGGAAACGAAGTTACTGTAAATGCTTTAATCAAACTATTACCTAAATCCGGTTATTCTCCATAACAGAGCAACGGCACGCAGCAGCCCGACGCACTTAAAGCGGCAGAGCCATAAATAGGACCAGGGGAGGAAGTGTGAAAGAGACGGCTGATGACTCAAATGTTGCACTTGTGTGTTTCAGTTAAAATGCGATTTGCTGCTTTCTCACTTTGAGGTTAGTTATCGGCTCGACTGTGCAGCGAGGGGAGGGCCTGAGAGCGCGGGGGAGAGGAAACGAGAAGGGTTTGAGGAAGAGCGTCACCGTGCATCTGTCGCGTTTAAAATAGTCGCAGGCTGTGACAAAGGCACGTTCTGGGCTGACGGCTGTGAACGATGAAGACAAAACGCTGCTGGTTTGATTGTTTTTGTTAATCGCTTACACATTTCTACGTAATTTTCTCAATCAGTCTGTAATTATTTAGCCCAAGAAATGTCCTAAATACATCCCAGAGACCAAGGTGACCTCCTTCTGTGTCACGATTTGTCCAAACAAAAATAAAACCAAATTATAAAAGATTAAGAAAAAACCTGCAGATACTAAGAAGCTAAAACTATTTAATTTATTTCTTTGCACCACAAATTGCTTCAGCATTAGTTTAGTTTGGGTTTGCAAGCGTGAAGGACTGCTGGAAATATGCCGTCGACTGCTGCTTAGTTTTTGGTTTTGTACGTTTAATGTTGATGGAGATTTGCAGCTAACTGGTGCCACAGAGCTGGATGGACGGATGGAAATCTCCTTTTCAAATTACCAACATGCTTGGAGCCCTTTGCTTTAAGGAAAAAATATCTATATGATATCTTCAGTCTGATGAAATTCGTTCTAAATGTGCTATACCATAAAAACAAAGCTGCATCTATCTAGATCAAGCAGCTGTACTTTTAAATTCAGTGTGTTTGCGTTTCATTGTTTGTTGACACCAGTTCTGGATGATTCAAAGTTCTGATTTCACTCCTTCCACCCTCAACCCGACCAGTCGAGGCAGACGTCTACCCATCCTGAGCCTGGTTCTGCTGCAGGTTTCTTCCTGTTAAAAGGAAAAGTTCTTTTTGTTGTCTTGCTCAAATAGATTCATTGAACTCGTTGGGTTTCTTTCTATAATTTAATATCGTCAGGTGTTGAGCTCGATGTGTGAAGCGCTGAGATGACTCGTGTTGTGAACTGACGGTGTGTAAAGGAAACACTTCATCCTGATTCCTGTAGCGGTTGTTGAGACTTTAGTGAGAACTTCCTCCTGCTCACCAGACTTACTCCTGATCCTTTGGCGACCATCGATGACATTTATTGCAGTCGCTTGAAAGTTGCTGAGATGTTTCATTCTGGAGATCTGTGCTTCTGAAAGCTGCCTTGTGTGTGTTGTTAGTGGAAACCTTCTGACCTTTGACCCGTCTCTCTCCTCAGACTCAGTCCGGGACTCCAGTGGACGGGTTCTGGTCCACTGTCAAGCAGGCATCTCCCGCTCCGCCACCATCTGCCTCGCCTACCTGATGAAGCGGAAGCGGGTGCGTTTGGACGAAGCGTTTGAGTTTGTGCGCCGGCGCCGCAGCATCATCTCCCCCAACTTCAGCTTCATGGGCCAGCTGCTGCAGTTCGAGTCGCAGCTCCTCGCCACCTCGTGCGCCGCCGAAGCGGCCGCCACGGCCAGCCCGCTGCTCGGACCCAAGTCGACGGCGACGACCGCCTCGACGGTGGCGACGCCCACCTCCCCGTTCATCTTCAACTTCCCGGTGTCGGTGGTGAACCCGGCGTACCTGCACCACAGCCCCATCACGACCTCCCCCGGCTGCTGATGGACAGCCAATCGCAGCCTTCCCTCCACCGACGCGAGCACAGACTGGGCCGGGGGAGCTGCCGGTCCCGCTGACCACTGCAGTATGTACATGCTTCCAGGGGCGGGGAGGCGAGAAGCGTCACGGTGCCTGATTCAAAAACTCAAAAGACTGATGAAAAACTTTCCAAACCAGCCGACGCTCCTTCCACTTCAACACGGGGTTTCTTCACACCGACCAAAAACGAAGCGGCTTTTTTGTTTCACATGGAGTGTTGGACTGATGTTTACTCGCCCTCTTCCTCCACAAAACAACAACAACAACAACAACATGCACAGAGTCACACTGACACACAACGCTGACACGGGGAGGCAACAGCAACACACACTCTCTCTCTCTCTCTCGCCCTCTCCCTCTCTCTCTCCCACACACACACACACACACAAACACATTCATGACTACCAACTGAATAAGCTCAGTATGAAGACAGGGGCTGTTGCTATGGCGACGACAGGTCTTTAGGAGAGGAGATGGACACAGGAAGGAAGGAGGAATTTTAAGCACCCGCTCTCTCCCCCTCCTCTTTCGGGTGTCCCTCCTGTTGCCAGACAAAAGAGATGGATGGAAAAAAGAGGGGAGGAGACGCTGATAGAAAGCAGGAGCCTCTTCGCTGACAGGTGCTCCGCCGGCGATCCGACCGGAGCTTCCTGTCTTTCATACGTCCTCTTCCTCTCCCCCTCCTCCTCCACCACCACCACACCTTCTCCCCCCGACCACCCCTTCTTCCTCTCATCTCCTTTTCATCCTTTTATACTCCTCCCCTCATCCCCTCATCCCCTCATCCCTGCCTCTCATCTTCACCCCCTCCCCGCCGCCCTGCTCCTCGTCTCCTCGGCGGAGAAGCTAAATAAATAAAATAAGATGCCAAATAAAGACCCGTGTAAGTGGACCGGGAAAGCCCCTGACACGCGCTTTAGGAAACCCCTTTCAGTTACATCACAAAAGAAAGTTGTTTTGGATGAAAGGGCTGAAAAACAAAGACGAGAGTCTTAAAACTCGGTGGCCGAGCATGCGTCGTTCTCTCGTCTTCTCCTGGATTCTCCTTTTTTTAGATCAGATTTTTAGAGCGCCGTCGCCCTGGAAGACAGCCGCTTAAAGGACCGTGCTGGTGGTTCTGTATTTTTTAATCCATTGTGAATATTCTTTACTGCTGATGATTTTCCAAAACTTAACTTTTAAGGCCTTGCTTTCAGTTCCTCTCAGCGAGTTGATTTTTAAAGAAAACGTCGGCTCTTACTAGCTGCTTTTGGAAGATCGCTGTTTTTTTAGACTCGTGGGCTAAAAGGTGCATCATCAGCATACGGTCCTTTAAGGTGTTTGTGCCTTGTTCATAAAGGTGTCCTGTGGATCCACGTGTCCCTGGATCTGCCAGTGGGGTGTTGTTTTCTTTTAGCTTTTTCTTTTTTTTTCAGTAGCTGCTAGAAATTGCTGAATGTTTCTGAACTAGTTTCAGCATTTTCCCAGCGCAGCACAGACTCTTATTCCACAGTGTCACCAGAGCAAAAGCTTCTCTGTCTGTCTTCTCTCAGCCACACAAACACACACATGATGGGCAGGAGTGGATTCACTTTGCCACATATTTAAAGGAGCAGTTCAATAAACTTCCCCAAACTACGAAAACATGGAATTTTCTCAACCCTTAATGAATATTTAGATCTAAAAATAAAATAAAAGGAGGGCGACCCACATGGGATCCAGCTCGAACCCCATTCTCCTGCATTTCCTGCCATGTTCCCTCCTGAATAAAAGCAAAAATGCACAACATTTTAAAAAAAAATGGATTTAAAATTAATCGTGCAGGAACAAAAAACTACAACAACAAAATATGTCAGATGTAAAAACTACATTTTGAATTTGAGAAACCGTTTTTTAAAATTCTGTGGTCAAATTTTACTACCGGCATGTAGCATCAGATTTTTTGTCACAGACGTTCAGACATCCACATCTAATTAATTTCATTTTTTAAATCCATACAGAATAAAAGGAGACAAAATGAAGGATTGTGAACATACAGTCGGTGTGCTGTAGCCTACGATCTCAGTGCAACTTTACAATAAAACCTTTTCTTTTCTAAAGATAACTCCCTTCATAGCACTTTGCAATATTCTACTTACAGTCCATTCAGAAACAGCAGCGACTGTTCAGGACGTCAAACCAAAACATAACTTTGAATCACAGTTCTAGATTTTGCTTCTGCTCCTGACCAGGTGAAGCTCTTCTACACTGTGCTTGAAGGCAAAAAAAAAAAGAAACTCCAATGCTTTTATACCCGAGTCCTCATGTATGAGAGCTGCACACACACACACACACACACGGTTTCAAAGACAACGAACCTTTTTTCTGTTTTCGAAGATTGTCGGCACCTATCTCTGTAGCACTTTGAAGTGATGCAATACTGTATTTGTAATTTCTGATTGATTTGCACATCACGGCGACGCTCAGACTGACTTCTTTGTCCGCTTAGAGAGAGAACGACATCCAGAGAGAGAGACGATAGAGAGCCGATGAGTGAAAAATGCAATACTTTGTACACATGTGTGTGATCCGTACCCGTCCGACTGTCTGCCTCTCTGTGTTGGTCCGTCTGTCCCGACTGTGTCTGTGTCCGGTCGACGCTGTCCACCCGTCATGGCAATATCAATCCTCCACCTGGACTATTTTATATCTATACATACACATACTTATGTATACATATAAAACAAAACAGTTTCCCCTCGATTTTGTTGTGGAATGAATGATCTGTGCATTTATTTATTACTGAAGATCCACTGTTGAATAAACAATGTTCTTAATTAAGTTAAATGTGATTTACTGAATACACACACACCGAGAACGGCAATCTATTTATACTGACAATTACTTCCTAGCATAAAAAAATTAAAAATTTAAAAAAAAAAAGAAAATAAATGAAAATATAATACATTTTTTAAAAAATCATAAAAAATAAATACATGTAAAAATTTAATTTACTAAAAATAAAAATAAAAATAATGACATTTACATTTTTCAAATTATTTTATTTATTTGTCTTTATATTTCTACTTTTATTAGCCTTTTCTTTTATGGATTCATTTTTGATTAATATTGCTGTATATTGCCACATTATTTATTTTTTTATTTTATTTATTCTTCTTTTTTCTTTTTTCTTTTGGTAATTTGGTGCCCTCACTGCTCCATACATAACAGCTTCACGTTGTAAATGACTTTCTGGGCTACGAAGGATTTTAGGAAATCACACACAGAAGCATAAACGCAGCAGATGATTTAGCAAATCAGTGGTTTTAATCAAATGACATCTAATCACATATTGATACCATAATTTAGTTTAAGCAAGTAGGAGGGGCTTTTTTTTTTTTTTTTAAATGACACTTGTCCTCTTAAAAGTCGTGCAAAAATCTAATCAATTAATTATATAAAGATTCAAGTAATGATCAATTACATTTCAGGGAAAGTGACGCAATGACAGTTACGTCTGCACAATCTGATGCAATAGAGTCCAGTATCACTGAGATAATGATTAACTTCTTAAATGTTTTTATTTCATCAACATATTCTACTTGACAAGGTTTAGAGAAAAACTGGTGAAGTTTGAGTCTATTCTGCAAGTTTTGCAAAGAAAACTTCAAATCCACTCGCAAGAACAGCAGAAACACAAGAAACACGACTGATCTACAATAACATACTGGCATCTCTTTTTTAATTTTTTATTTAAGCGATGTCAAAAATCATCTCAAACAGAAATCCTGTTAGAACAATACATTTAAAAAAAAAAGATATCCAAGGACAGCATGTGTTTTCTTTGTCATCTAAAACATCAGGAACCCCTTCAATCCTGAAGCCTACTGGTCTGAATGTTAGCCTATAGCGCCATCCACTGGTGAGGACATGTAGTTGCCCTTTTGGAGATGATGATTGTCACAAAACAAGAGCTGAAAACATTGCAGGCAAAAACAAATCTGCAGCACAAAATACTAAATCTTCTGCATGTAAAACACAACTATGTGCGACATGTTCTGAATATGTAGAAAGTTTTGAACCTGAGTGGAAAACCTGCTGAAACACAGTCAGGTCAAGAGATTTATAAATGAAATTAATTACTTTTTAATTGATTGTGAAAAAGTGCTTTTCCCAAACAAAAGACACCAAATATGACCGAGGACTAAATTATTCATCAGGGTTATTATTGAGTTAGAAAAATGTATTTTGAGGAGAAAAACATTTAAAAGCAACACAGAACACCTGAGAGTTTCACTGCATTATACTCCATTATCACCTGGCTGCAGATTTTTGTCTTTCCCATAAAGGTGAAGAAAATGCAGGTGAGTACACAGATTTGAGCAGGAATTTAAATGTCTTTTAAAGTGGAAAATCTACAGCTATGTTTTCTGGACTTGCTTGTCAGTACCTCTGACTTATTAATTTCAGTATAAACGGATCAGACCACTGGGATCCTTATTGCCACTGTGATGCTTAAATCAAAAGTAGTTTTACATTTTTTTTGTTTTTTATGGTCTTAGCTGCTGTAACTCCTTGACAAATAGACCTAATTGTGCACCAGCATCAACCTGGTAAACTTTCCCTTTCTCTTTCTGGGAACTTGGTTAATTAATTTGAGCTTTGAGTTGTTTGTACACCTGTGATTGTGAAGCATCTCCACTAACGCAGCATGGGGTTAATCATTTGGCAAATGTGTGCAAAAGCGCCCCCCTAGAATGTAGTTGCTTCCTATAGTCTGCTTGTTTGTGGTCGAAGATGGTACTGCAACAGTGAGTCCAGGTAACTTGCGGTGAATTTAAACGGCAGTAAACTGTGAACTGGCGGCCACGTACTTATTGGAAGAGATGCTTGAAGTTTAACTGTTAAGCAGTGACTATAAATGAACATTTACTCACATTTTAACTTTGAGTCCAGCTTGTGACGTTGGTCTTAAAGGCCAAGTTTATTCCCAACAGAGCGCAAAGCAACAGCGTTCATTTTGATCCTATCAAACAGTTTCTATAATAATCATGAGAATAATAATAGTTAAACATTGGCCGAGTCCTCGCTTCTTGCGACTGAGACAGATGGGAGCGCATACGTACAGCGTGTCGTACCTGCTCCATCACTTATGAAAGGTGAATGAAAATAACTTTTACAAATTTAATCTCACATTCATTGTGGAAACTGTTTGATGAGATCAAAATGAATTCTCCTGCTTTGTGCTCCATTGGGAACAAACTTAAAGACCAATGTGACAGCTGGCCTTTGCAGATAGTCTGAGCTCATGTGTATTCATGGTAACTGCTTCAGAGTTTACCTTGAAGCAGGATTT